AAGAGATGAAAAGAACTGAGTAAAAAAAATAAACTAGAAATCATATTCACACTTATACAAAACCAAGATCAAACAATGAAGAAGAAAAAACAAAAACAAAGCAACCAACACTACAAAAAACAAATAGAAAGAGAAAGAAAGAGAGAGAGACAGAGAGACAGAGAGACAGAGACAGAGACAGAGACAGAGAGATCCACTTACATGTTTGTTTCTGCTGTCACTGGTAAACAAAGTGTGGAGACAGAGTCCTGACCTTGGCTGAACTACTCCATCAAGGAAGCAGTGGCTTTTAATGGGTAGTGGATAATCTCAGTGAGCCTGCACCTTCTGGTCAAGACCACATTCATTCAGCCTGTGGCCATTAGTGCACTTTCTGTGGGTTTGAGCCCAGCTGGCAACCACTAGTTGGAGTCAGTAGTCACTCCGAGTTCTTAGCCAATCACTTTCATGAGGGACAACTGAACCCTCAGCACTTAATGCCAGCAAGTGCAGTCCTTCACATCCACTGCTCCTCTTGATTGCTGCATCTCCCTGTGGAGGCTTCTAGGGTCATGCGTGGTCACTGTGTGTCCATGGGTTCGAACTTCTCCTCTCGCCTAGTCAGTCCTGTCTCAGAGAGAGGGTACCACCACCTACATCCTTCTTCACCGAAATTTCTCCCTTCACTCTCTCCCTGGGTTTCAACTCCTGCCACAGATCCTTCCTGCGAGTTCCTGGACCCACATTCCTCCTTCTTGTCTGCCTCACATTGTTATATTCCAGTGTCTGGATGACAACACTCAGACTCTTTGTCTGATGCTTACCACTCTGCTGTCTTATGCCTCCCTCCTACATCCTTAATTGAATCATATCTGTAAAGTTCTCTTTTCCAGGTAATTAATATATTCCTAATTTCTAGTATTCCAGAAAAGGATATGTTAGGACATGTTTGGGTGAGTCAGGGGCATTATTTAACCTATCATATTGTTCAGCATAAAATTCAAGGTTAATTTCTCTTGAGTTAATTTATTTAGACTTCTTGTGTAATGCACTTGTGTACTTTAAATCTTAAAGGGAACAATAAATTCTGCATAAGTATTCCTTTTCTTTTTCTTTCAATACTTGGGTTTCATACTAATCACCTGAAAGTTATATTTGTGGCAGATATGAAAATATACTTGGACAGCTGAGAAATAGAGAAATATGTGATTTCCGTTGCCTACTCAATCTCCTCTTGTTAAACTCTGAAAACTTGACATTTGAAAGACAAAGACTATGTAACATTTCTACTTTGTAAAACATCCCTCCAGTTTGAAGACAAAATTTTACAGGGTTCCAAATGTCCCATAATCAAGCTTGAAAATGGGTAGTCAAACACAAAAAAGGGGGTTCTTTGGAAAGGACAGTGACAGGGATTTTTTAATTCTTTACACGCTCTTTGAGAAAATATTTAAATGGAAAAAAAAATGTTTGGCCTTTCTGAGTTAAAACAGTTCCAATCTCTTCAACAGATCACTGCACAAGAATGAGCAACTGCTTATTGAAATTCTGCCTCCTGGAAGCACCTCCAGTGCCCTCTTGTTCAGGGAAAGTCTGTAGTATTCATCAGCTACGACTTCACAAAGTGCAGGGACAAGCACCAAGCGCAGTGTTGCGGACAGGCGATCCCCGTACGAGCTCAGCATCAGTGCTTGCTCTGGGTTGTCATGGCACTCTGAGAACTCCAGTGCCACCAGCTCAGTGCTCTGGGCTTTCTGCTCCCCTACTCTTGGATTGCTGACTTGCAGTGTGCCCGCATGAACTTCTGCATGTTCTGAATTGGCTTGAAAAAGCTGGATGGGTTGACAAGTTGGTACAGGGCCATAAGCCTTTATCTAAAAACATTAGAGACCAATATACTCACAATTTGGATTCTTTGTTTTTAGGGGTGTGTGTGTGTATTTTAGGACAGAGTCTACAGGGTCTACAGGGTCTCAATGAATAGATCGGACTTGTAGTGATCCTCCTGTTTACAGCCTCCCAAAATCTGGGATTACAGGTGTGTGCCACCACACCATCTCAATTGCCATCTTAGCACTCCCCAGGGAGTGGGGCTGGCAAGGAAGGCCTGGGGATCAAATTCCTGGCCCCTGTGTCTGCCTAAGCAGGCACTTTAATCCACTGATCTATTTGGCTGGCCCTACAACTTGGGGGTTTTAAAAAGGAAAATTTGGAACACATATCATATCTTAATACCCTTTTAGGGTCTAAATTACAGATCTCTATGGCAAATA